GAGCCATCCTCAAGAGCCTTCCTGTTAGGTAGCAAAAGCCACTGAGAAAAATTGGCTGAAGATAAATCCCCTGTCATCATGCCATCTATATGTGTGAGTGTGTGTGTATACACGACATCATAACAGTACGTTTTAGCTGGGCCATTAGCTTGTTACGTGAGCTGGGCCCCACATTGCCATTTCCTCCCGGAACTCCCTGAGCCAGTGCGTGGTCATTCCCTGTTCCTGCTCCCCGGGGCTCTCTGTTTCTGGACTTTGCCCTTCCATGCTGTGTTCTGGCCTTCCTTTCTTCCTCCTGGGCTTTACTTCTGTCCCCTGCCCTGCCGTTCTCTTTCCCGCTGCCCACCGCCCCTTCCTCTTCCTTCATTCCTTGTTCTAGCAGTGACTGCCTGTACCTGTCATAGGCCACTTCACATGTTCTGCTTTGAAGTGCAGTTTTTGCCAAGGTGTTTTACTTCTACGCTGTCTTATCACCTAACGTTGGCTTCTTGTTTGCTTTGCTTTTTTTTAATTGTGGCAAAATACATATGAAATTTACCACTGAGCAATTTTTTTTTTTTTTTTTTAAATGACCGGTAAGGGGATCTTAACCCTTGACTTGGTGTTGTNGGCCCCCCACTGAGCAATTTTTAAGTGCACAGTTCAGTGGCACTGAGTACATTAATACCATTGTGCAGCCATCACTGCCATCCAACTCCAGAACTCTTCATCTTGCAAAACTAGAACTCTGTCCGCATTAAACAATAACTCCTCGTTCCTCCCTCCACCCAGTCCTGGCAACCACCCTTCTGCTTTCTGTCTCTATGAATTGACTACTCTAAGTACCTCATGTAAGTGAAATCATGTCATCCTTTGTGTCTGGCTTATTTCACTCAATGTAAGGTTCTCAAGGTTCTTCCATGTTGTAGCATGTGTCAGAATTTCCTCCCTTTTCGAGGCTAGTATTCCACCGTGTGTATATACCACATTTCATTTATCCGTTCTTTCATTGATGGGCACGTGGGTTGCTTCTGCCTCTTGGCTATTGTGAATAATGCACGTGGGTGTACAGATATCTTTTTGAGTCCCTGCTTTTGGTTCTTTTGGGTATATACCCAGAAATGGAATTGTTGGATCATATGGTAAATCAGTGTTTAATTTTTTGAGGTACTGTCATACTGTTTTCTAGAGTGACCAAACTATTTTATGTTACCACCACCAGTGCACAAGGGTTCCAATTTCTATACATTTTTCTATACATTTTATGTTTGTTTTTTGATAGAAGCCATCGAATGGATATGACATGTCTGCCAGCACTTGCTATTTTATGTTTGTTTTTTGATAGAAGCCATCGAATGGATATGACATGTCTTATTCCTTTTTCCTATACATTTTATGTTTGTTTTTTGATAGAAGCCATCGAATGGATATGACATGTCTTATTCCTTTTTCAGCCCTTTCTAGGGCTTTGCACAGAGTAGATGTCCAATAACCATTTGCTGATTGAGCAAGTATTTTCTTTGGCACAAACAAATCTTGGAAGCCAGAGTTTAGCAAAGGGGGATCTGCCCATTTCAAGGGTATTAATAGCTGTGTAGTGTCACCTGTCCCATCAAGTTTGGAAAATGCTGGATGAACACAGATTAACAGATGTCTTTGCTGTAGAGTCTCTCAGAGTGTCTTGGGATATTATATGTAACAACTCCTAAACTTATTTACTAAATGGAGGTTTTTCTTCTTGTTTCCACCTGCCTTGTAATTTTGAGAGCCCGTTGCTCTGTTTGGAAAATACAGTTGCTTCTGAAAAATAGTGGGTGCCTCCTGAAATCTTTTGAATCATAAGCTGACATTGTTTTAATTCTGAAATGTTACCTCTCTTGAACAGGATCTTCTTCAGATTCGATCGTATGTATATGCAGAAGAGCCACATATTGACATTCACAACTTTGTGGGAACTTTTACCAGGGTAAGTAAGCTTATCTTAATAGAATCCTGCTTTAAAATATGCGTGGGTAAGGAAGGCCTGCAAAGTGGTGTTGACAGTTCTTTGTCAGGAAGTCGTTTTATGCCAGATTNTGACCAAACTATTTTATGTTACCACCACCAGTGCACAAGGGTTCCAATTTCTATACATTTTTGCCAGCACTTGCTATTTTATGTTTGTTTTTTGATAGAAGCCATCGAATGGATATGACATGTCTTATTCCTTTTTCAGCCCTTTCTAGGGCTTTGCACAGAGTAGATGTCCAATAACCATTTGCTGATTGAGCAAGTATTTTCTTTGGCACAAACAAATCTTGGAAGCCAGAGTTTAGCAAAGGGGGATCTGCCCATTTCAAGGGTATTAATAGCTGTGTAGTGTCACCTGTCCCATCAAGTTTGGAAAATGCTGGATGAACACAGATTAACAGATGTCTTTGCTGTAGAGTCTCTCAGAGTGTCTTGGGATATTATATGTAACAACTCCTAAACTTATTTACTAAATGGAGGTTTTTCTTCTTGTTTCCACCTGCCTTGTAATTTTGAGAGCCCGTTGCTCTGTTTGGAAAATACAGTTGCTTCTGAAAAATAGTGGGTGCCTCCTGAAATCTTTTGAATCATAAGCTGACATTGTTTTAATTCTGAAATGTTACCTCTCTTGAACAGGATCTTCTTCAGATTCGATCGTATGTATATGCAGAAGAGCCACATATTGACATTCACAACTTTGTGGGAACTTTTACCAGGGTAAGTAAGCTTATCTTAATAGAATCCTGCTTTAAAATATGCGTGGGTAAGGAAGGCCTGCAAAGTGGTGTTGACAGTTCTTTGTCAGGAAGTCGTTTTATGCCAGATTGGAGATGAGATTTCTATAAGGAGGCCCTTCCTTAAAAGCTGACATATTGTTTGTTAGTAAGGTGGACACAGTTCTTTGTCAGGAAGTCATTTTATGCCAGATTGGAGGTGAGATTTGTAAGAAGGCCTTACCTTGAAAGCTGACATTGTTTCTCACTGAGGTAGACACAACTGGAATTTTCTTCCAGGCTCAGAGAAGCTTGAATTACCTGACAAGGTAGAGAGGCAAGTGTTATTATAATTAATGTTAACTCTGCTGTCTGAAAACAGTTACTCTGTCTCCTTCAGATGGGACCGTGTCCTTTTTTATTCATGCAAATCCTCTCTGCCATTTTTGTAACTTATGAGCCACTTCCAGATCTTTCCAAATAGAAATTAAATTCAAATTTAAATTGTTTGAGGAATATGGGGCAATAGACTTATAGAATCCATGTTAAATGGTCTGTGTTCTCTTTCTGTGCACATAAGACTGGTCTGCAAAGAGCCTAATGGATTTGCTTATGCGTCTTAGTTCTTACCTTGTAAAACATCCCTTTGGTATTAGTGACCTGCACTTCTTAAACACAAGCCAGCTTTGACCAGTATTTCTGTGGGAGATGAACTCTGCAAGGACAGTAGTTGGGGAGCCTGGCCCTCCTCTCCTGGCTGAGCTATAGGCTTCCACACTGCTGCGCCCAGTCTGATCGGGTAGAGCACTTCTCCTGTGTTGGCAGGAGGAGGCTAGAAGCAGCCTGCGGATCCAGACCAAACCTTGGTAGAACGTGTATCTGTTTGGTCTTTTTCAGGAAGACAGCGACCCTCCCATCAGCGAGAGCCTGAGCATCGAGAACACGCTGTGGGCGGGCACCGTCATCGCATCGGGTGAGGCGCCAGTTTTAAGGAATGTGTTAGCAATTTGAAAAGGAAAGAAAATCCTTTTGTAATTAGAATAATCACCTGTCAGTTGGGAAAATTGGTCGCTAGGCAAATGGCATTTTCCACTTGTTCCCGCACCTCCAGGGAATTAAGCTGATACCTAATTGCAGCTCGGACCCTTGTAGGCGTCTGGAGGAGATGCTTTCTGGGGCCTTTTCTGCAGCATCCACTCTGGGAATAGCTCCTAATTGCCACTTCAGATTGACATTCTAATCTGTACCAGAAACTGAGTTGGCCTGGATGCTCTGGCCTGAAGGTGTGTCCATGCGCGCAGCCAAGCAGGAGCTGCCTGGATAGGGCCCCAGCGACAGAAAAGGGCCTTGGCCTGATTTGGAGACAAGATGAAGTGGACATCAGTGCCTTTTAATATTTTGTTTTTGGAGGGCAGCTGGCCAGTACAGGGATCTGAACCCTTGACCTTGGTGTTACAACACTGCCCTCTAACCAACTGGGCTAATTGGCTGGCCCTACCTTCCAATTTTGAATGCTGGGATGACACTGAGCAGAAGGTTCCCGGGGCTGAGTGTGGTCTACAGTAGCAGTGGGTGATCTTGGTGGCATGCAGCTGTGTGTCAGGCACTGTGCTGAGCGCTCTGTGTGTTTCACACACTTCACTTGACCCTATCAGCCCCTCGAGGGTGGTTACTACTACTGTACTCGTTCTGTACACGAAGGAGATGAGGCTCAGTGAGGTTCAGTAACTTGACCCAAGATCACCCAGTGGGTAAAAGGCAGAGTTGGCACCTGAACCCAGGCACTTTGCTTCAGAAGCAGAACTCATTGTGCAGCTATTATATTATTATTAACATAATGTTATAATTAATATGTTTTATAATTCCACCCTGGCAACTTTCTTTCTTTCTTTTTTTTTGAAAACTTTCTGTGTTTACTATTAGAGCATCAATTTTTTTCCCCTCCTCAAACATGGTATCTCTCCCCTTGATCCATTTTCCTCTGCTTGATGCTTCTTTGTGGCTCTTTAATGCAACAGACACTCAGTCAGAATCCTGCGTGACAAGGAGGAAAAGAACCAGCTCAAACTACACCCAGATTACTATGTGTCACCATTCACAGACTCACTACTTACTACTTAATGTAAAGGGTACAGATTAGCTCTCCCTTGAGTTTTTTTTTTTTTTTTTTGGCAGCTCTCCAGCTGAACCCTTGACCTTGGTGTTATGACACCACACTCTAACCAACTGAGCAACTGGCCAGCCTTCCCTTGAGGTTTTTGCTATGTGTCTTTTCCACTGCCTGCCTGTGTTTGCATCACAATCTGGAACATCTCTCAGTTCCAGTGATACCTAAAGGAGTGAGAAATTGGTCCTTAAAATTCTGCACAGCCACGCCACAGCCACAGCCACAGGCACAGCCACAGCCACAGGCACAGCCACGGCCGCCCAGGGCATGCACAACCTGTTCACACTCTGCCTCTCCCCTCCCACTTACTTGTCCACCCAAATCTCTGAACTGGTTACTCTTCCTCACAGGTTTTTCTTCACTTTTAAGTCATTTACTAACAAGTAATTGTTCTTTTTATTCTTTGATAATTTGACTAAAAAATAAGCATCTCGTTTCAATCTGCATTTCCTACACTGTGTAGGAGGTTGGTCGTCTTTCATCTGTTTTGTGTCTTCCCCTGTCAGTTACTTATTCCTGTCCGTCGGTCATCTTTCTATTGTAGTCTTTATCTCTTTCTTATTCATTTGTAGGAGTTTCTCATTTCTCGTGCATATGCCTTGTATTCTTTTTTCCCACCCAAATTTGTCATTTTTTAAAAAACTTTATTGTGTATTTTATAAAGAGTTAAAAATATTATTTTTATTCTTCTGTAGTCTGTTAGGTGGTAAATGGAATCTTGTTATTGTCAGTTTTGATTTAATCGTGAATATGGTTGGACATCTTTCCACAAGTGAGCCATTTCATAATATTTTGGTCTGCTTTCCTTTTGGGTTCTTCTTTTTCTTATTAATTTGTAAGAATGTTTTGTAGAAGAAAGAATATCAAACTGTCACCTGTCATGGGTTACAAATATTTTTCTCACGGCTTATTCTTTGTCTTTTGTTTTTGTGTATGATAGGCTTTGTTTGATTTTATCATATAGAAGGTTAAAATTTTTATATTGTCAACATTTT